TGGGGACACAAACCGCAGCCAGCCATATGGGAGTCCAGAGATGTAACGGCTACGCCATCTGCTGGCCCCGATTACTCTGGTTTTAAAAATGCCTAGATGTCTCGCACTTATTTTTTTCTTTGAAAGTAAAATCTACGTGAAGCCCACACCTTCTCTATCTCACCCCCCCATCTGCTGCCTTCAGGAGCTGAAGCGGTATTTTGTCCCTCCACTCCCTAACCTCTCATTCTCTTCCATCACTCCCTTACTGGACAGCCCTAAGGTCACCCAACAGCCTGCATGTCAAAGGTCACATGGACTTTTCCAGCTTTCACCTCCTGCCACTCCACAGTAGAATTTGACACTGTTGGCCTCTTAGAAGTATGCTCTTGCTGGGACCAGCAGTTAGCGTAATGGCTTTGTTGCTGAACTCTCATGTAGCCGACCGCGGTTCGAGTCCCAGACCTGGTGGCTTAAACTCATGCCGGGCACATGTGTGTGAGTGCCCAAGATCCCGAGAGGAGAAGGGATTGTGGTGTGGCCATCCCCCTGGGGGGTGATTTCTCGCTTTCTGTCTCTCTGTCTTTCTGGTGAGCACATGCACCCTATAGAAAAAACCTCTAAAAAAAAAAAAAAAAAAGAAGTACGCTCCGTCTTTGGATTCTGTGACATCACAGGACTCTCCTGGTTTAGCCCTACCTGTACGGCCGCTCCTTCTCAGTGCCCTCTGCACACTCGTTCTCTCCACAGCACCAAATGGAGAGCCTCCAGGCCCAGCAGCAGGGTGGCTTCTCCCCTCACTTTGCACTTTCTCCTTAGACAATCTCGTCCACACTTATGGCTTTAGCCGCCCGTGGGCCCCGCTCCCAGGGACTGGCAGGAATGAGGATCTGATAGCGGGGAAAGGGGACGGTTCCCTTGAGGTTCCCTTGATCGCAGGGGCAGTAAGGGTGCTGTTAGAACAGAAGGAGAAAGGGACGAGGGAGAGTGTAAAGAAGCAAAGCAAAACCAGATAGCCACTACGGGCGTGCTGAGTAAGGTCAGACACGTGAGTAAAAGAGGCTTCTTTTGGGTCTCAGACATTTCTAGTCATTGGAACCTTAAGCGGGACTGAAGGCAGCCAAAACAAAACAAAACAAAAATGCTGATTTCCTTTGAAGACAGAAAATTGTGTGGTTTGTAGAGGAGGCAGCCTTGGCTAGACAGCGGAGTTCAACTTTTTCCACCTCTCAGCATCTTGAAAGAGCATGTAGCAAGAAGCAGGAGGCAGACAGACCACTAGCAGCTCACTTCTTTTTAACACGTCCTCAGGTCTTCCGTGCCAAGAGGATACTTCACTCTGAGGTTAGACACAGTCGTCTCAGGGGGTTCGTTCTGCTTTTCTAATACGTACCTGGGAGAAGCCAGCGCTGCCTGCCACACCAGAAGTATTCGTGTCCTGACCATCCGTGGGGGCTTGGCTGGAGTTCCAGAGAGGCTCTCACATGCGGGCCAGCTGTTGGCGATTTTCTGTGCATATTTGGGAGAATTCATGTTGAGTGCTTTAGGCTGGCCAGCCAGTCGCCCACCAGGGTTGGGCTTGGCCTCTGCAGTTTGTCCAAGGCTGAGTCTGTCCTCAGACTCAGAATAACCACCACCTTCCCCTCCAGGTGGTATTATCTGACAATCCCTCCCAGAGCTATGTTGGAGGCCTCCTCCTCTGTGCTCCCATGGAAATTCTGTACGTCTTATCAGATCACCTTTCACTTGCAATTTGTCCCTACTGCTCTATGGCTTCCTGAGGCAGGGATGTAGTGTCACAGCACTAACAATTAGCATAGTTCCTAGGGTATTGTACCTATGAAAGAAGCCTGCCCAGTGGCAAGCCAGAGGAACTCCAAGCACCGTCCTCCAGGATGTAAACCTTGGTCATCTGCAGCTCCTCCCCCGTCCTCATCCCTCATCCCACTCACACACTGCAACGTTCCAAATGGAAGCACACCAGATGCAGAACTGGCATAGGGGACGATAAACTGGAGACTTAGACTACAGTCTAGTGAGAGGCTGGAATAAACAATCGGAACAATGAACTCTCAGAAAATAAAGTTTTTTAAAATGATTATTTTATTTAACTTTATTCATTTTATTTATTTTAATTTGACAAGAGAGGGACAGAGCCAGCAAGAGAGAGAAAGTGAGAAGGCAAGCCACCAGGTCCAGGATTCGAACCACGGACAGCCATGTAGGAGTCCAGCGCCTTTAACCACCATGCCACCTGCCGGCCCCAAAAATAAAGTGTTTAGGAGTTTATTTCTTCTATGAGTGGGAGAAACAGGAAGAAGGAGCATCATCGCAGCAGCAGCCCAGCAGTGTCCTGACCCTCCAGCCCACCCAGCCCTGGGGTGTGGGCATGCGGGTGCCCAGCATACTCAGGGAGGACTTCAGACTTAGATCCATGGAGGATCAACTTGCAGAACATTGTGTTTTACCATCTGGCTCCCGGGGGAAATTTATTTAATTTTATTTATCATTATTACTATTTTTTAACTTGATCACAGAGACAGAGAGAGTGAGAAGGAGAGTGGCAAACCTTCAGGTCTATGAGAGTTCAGCGCCTTAACCACCACGCCACCTGCCAGCTCTAGTAAAAATTTTAAAAATAATATGAAAAAGAATGAAATACTTAAAAATATAGTCAATGAAAGATGTGCAAGTCCTGTCTATTCAGAAAACTGGAGCACATTGCCAAGAGAAATTAAAGAACTAAATAAATACATGTTACCCTACTTATGAATTGGATGGTTCAATATTGTTAAGATGCTTATCTGAAAATAACCTACAGATTCAATGCAATCAAAATAAAAATTTCAGTGGGGCCAACTGCTGGCATGGTGATTAAGGTGGCTGGATCCGACATGGCTGACCGCATAGTTTGAGTCCTGAGGCTACTGGCTTGAAAATCATACCAGGTGCATGTGCATACATGCCCAAAATCCTAAGAGGAGAACGGAGAAGGGATTGTGGTATATCATCCCCCCAACTCCCAGGAGTGATTTTCCACTTTCCCTATATCTCTCTTTCTCTGGCAAGCTCATGCACCCTATAGCAAAAACTGAAAAATAAAATTATTTTTTAAATTCCTGCATTTTCTTGTAGAAAATGACAAGCTGATTCTAAGCTTTATATAGGAATGGAAAGGTCCAGGAATATTTAAAAGAATATTTTAAAAGAGGGGAAAAGTTAGAAGCTCTGAATTACCTAATTTTTTTAGAGAGAGATTTTTGCTATGAGATGTGTGCACTCGCCAGAAAGAGACAGACAGGAAGTGAGAAATCACCCCCAGGGGAATGGCCACGCCACAATCCCTTCTCCTCCATTCTCCTCTCGGGACCTTGGGCACGCACGCACATGCTCCCAGCATGAGTTTAAGCCTCCGGGTCCGGGACTTGAACTGTGGTCAACTACATGGGAGTTCAGCAACATAGCCATTACGCTAACTGCTGGTCCCTATATTACCTAATTATTTAAGAATTATTTTATTTAACTTTATTTATTTATTTATTTAAATTTGACCAGAGAGGGACAGAGAGAGACAGAGAAAGTGAGAAAGAAAGATGCCAAGTCCAGGACTCTAACCATGGTTGGCCACGTGGGAGTCCAGTGCCCCCAACCACCACGCCACCTGCCAGACGCTATATTACCTAATGTTGAGATTTAGTTTAAAGCTGCAGAAAGTCAAACATTGCGGCATTGTCATAAGGATAAACAAATCAATAGACTAGATAGCCCAAACATAGACTCACACATATACAGTAAAGCATTTTTTTTTTTACAAAGTTGCCAATGTAACTTGATGAGGAAAAACAGTATTCAACAAACGGTGCTGGAACAAAATTGAAGATCTAGTTAGGAAATAATTCTGTAAAAAAAAAAAGAAAAGAAAAGCTACCTTGTCACCTTTTCTTCTTCCTGGACACAAACATGGTTTACATTTCCCAGCTTCCCTTGAGTTAAGTTAGGTTGTGGTCACATGACTGGGGTTTGCCCCATTGAATGTTAGAGGAAGTGACAGGCACCACCTGACATGGCCATGATAAGCCCCGTGTCCTGCCCACATTCTCTTTGTTCATCAGCTAACGAACGCAGAGGATCTAACTCTGTCTATGTCAGACTATGTCGTGTGTATGAGGGAGGAAGTCAACTACTGTAGTAAGCTGCCAAGAATTGGGGTTGGGCCAGCAGGTGGTGTGGTGATTAAAGTGCTGGACTCCCACATGGCTGACAACAGTTCAAGTCCCAGACATGGCAGGGACTTGTTTTCTCACTTTCTCTCTCTCCCTCTCTGTCTTTCTGTCTCTCTCTGGGGAGTGCACATGCCCTATAGCAAATTGAAAAATAATAGTATGGGACTGGCAGGGGGTGTGGTGATTAAGGTGCCGGACAATCCAACATAGCGGACCATGGTTCGAGTCCTGAACCTAGTGGCTTGCTTTCTCACTTTCCCTCTCTCTGTCTCTCTGTCTCTCTCTGGTCAAATTAAAATAAATGAATGAATAAATAAAATTAAATAAATAAGTCTTTTTTAAAAAGAATGGGGGTGTGCCTCCTAGTAGCTAGCATTCCTCTTACTAATATTCAGAGCGCCCATGATAGCTTTCGGTGGAAATGTTGGGGATGGTAAATTTGAACGGGATCTCCATGAAAGGGTGACAGTTCCTTGGGCATCTCAAGGCAGAGCTAGTAAAGCTGCGTGAAGAATACAGTGAGGTGGACGGAAGGTCGGGATTTGAGTGGAGGACTGTCTGGCCTCCAAGCCTGTGCTTTCTCCGCTCCTCCACTACACCTCAGACGGAGAGGCATTTAGAGGTTCTGAGTGGTGATCCAATGGCGATGGGCGCTCGGGCTCTGTGTAATTGACTCTCAGGCTCATCTGTGCCATCCATTACGGGGAGCGTCCACTGCTCCCCACAAGCCAGCGAGGTTGACTATAATGACACCCTGTAACCCTCACTTTTATGTCAACATCATCCCCAAGCATTCAATGGAGGGTAGTTAAAATTATTATCATTTTCTCCGACCTGCAACCTAAATGCTTACCAGTCTGGTGAAAGACTTCGGGGGACTGGGCATAAATGTATAGGTCCTGCTTCTCCATCCGCCTTCCTTCCTGGCTCAGCCATTTGGGTCAAAGAGGCTCTGGGTCTCTTCCCGGAGTGAGTGCATTTACCTCCTCCCTGCTGGGTTGACTGGTGATTGAACCTCCTTTCATGTCTTACTTTCCTCGTGTGTGAAACGGGGGTGTGATACCTACCACATATAAGTGTAAGATTTCAATAAAATAGGCAATAGCCAAGAACAGATAGCACAGCAGCCGTTATGGATGGGCCCTTTCCCCCACTTCCCCGCGTCCTCGTTGTTATCAATACTAAACATCAGGTGATTCTTGATATTTTGTAAATATTTCCCAGTCTGCTTCCATTGTCCTTTCTTTTTTTCTTTTTAAGAGTTTTTGCTATAGGGCGCATGCGCTCGCCAGAAAGACAGAGAGAGACAGAGAGACAGAAAGCAAGAAATCACCCCCCAGGGGGGATGGCCATGCCACAATCCCCTCTCCTCCATTCTCCTCTCCGGATCTTGGGCACGCACGCACATGCGCCTGGCAGGAGTTTAAGCCTCCGGGTCCGGGACTTAAACTGTGGTCGACTACATGAGAGTCCAGTGACATAGCCATTACACCATCTACTGACCCCGCATTGTCCTTTTTTTATTTTTTGGAGAGGTTTTTGCTACAGGGCGTATGCGCTCGCCAGACAGACAGAGAGAGACAGAGAGACAGAAAGCAAGAAATCACCCCCCAGGGGGGATGGCCATGCCGCAATCCCTTCTCCTCCATTCTCCTCTCGGGATCTTGGGCATGCACACACAGGTGCCTGACATGAGTTTAAGCCACCGGGTCCAGGACTCGAACTGTGGTCGACTATGTGGCAGTCCAGCAACATAGCCATTACGCTAACTGCTGGTCCTGCATTGTCCATTTTTAAAAATAATTATTTTATTTAAATTTATTTATTTATTTAAATTTGACCAGAAAGGGGGCAGAGTGAGAGAGAGAGAGACAGAAGGTGAGAAAGCTAGCTGCCAGGTCCAGGACTCAAACAGCAGTCAGTCATGTGGGAGTCCAGCTCCCTTAACTACCATGCCACCTGCCAGCCCCTATCCATGTGTTTTTTTATCTGGTTATCTATGTCAGCTCTGCATAGCTTTGACCTTAAACTCCCAATAGACAGAAAACCTGTGGTTGCTAAATATTCAGTGATACCAGCTACCATGCTATTCATTAACTTTCAACCGCAGTGAGAAATTATCGCATGCTTCCTGTTTTATAAGCTTTATGCAAGGAGGTTTCTATAATAAGATTCTTTTTCAAAAAATGTTTTATTTATTTATCCCATGAAAGAAACAGTGAGGGAATGAGAAAGGGAGAAATATATAGAGAGAGTACCCCAACATGGTCTTCATGCCTGGATCCATCCCCACCATCAACCAGCAAGAATCACGGGCATGTGCCCAGGCCTGCAAATACAAGGAGACCTTGGGACTCAAACCCAGGACCTCCATATGGCTTCAGCATCACAGAGCATTGTGTTACCATGTTGACTTGGAAGAAGATTCTATTACTACCCATGGGCACCACCAGAGATATTATTTTAAAGGGTATGGAAATTCATTCTTCTTCTTACAAATAATATTTTGTATATCTGACTATAAAAATACAAGCTCACTATAGATAAAAGCACCAAAAAAAAAAAAAGAAAAAATTCCCCCAAATAATCACTATTATCCTTTTAGAATTGACTCTCCTTTTTAAAAAAGATTTATTTAAATTTTTTTGTTATTATTATTTTTTAATTTAACCAGAGAGAGAGAGAAAGGGGAAGTGAGAAATCAAGCCACCAGGTCTAGGACTCAAATCATCATTAGCCACAGGGAGTGCTTGCTTTTTTCTCACCTAATAACATGGCATGAGTATTTTACACATTATGAAAGATTCTCCTATGGCATAATTTTTAACGGTGGCT